AAATTAGCCATATTTATTAGGAATGCACATAAAGTTGATGGCAGCAAACCATGGGCGTAGGTTTGGGTAGGGACGGTAGGGACATGTCCCGACCAATATTCACGGGATATGAAAAAGTCCCGACCAATTTTTGCCATATTGGCTCAAAGAACGTGGATCTACGATCTTTGATTAGCAGCAACAGGCGGTGCGGAACGGAAGCTTCTTAGTTTGACATTTATTATGAGCCTCCGAGACCGTGTCGGAACGGTGCTGTCGGGGGGGTGGGGGGAGGGGGAGTCAGTTGAATCGTCGGACGTTCTTTGATTAGCTGCAAAAGGCGGCGGCTAGCTGGGCACACGCGTCTCCTTCTGAGTCTCCGAGACCATGTCGCCACCAAAAAAGAAAAGGAGACATTAGAAGTTATTTCGCTACGTCGGCTGTAAGTACAGTGAGTGGACCCATAAGTTAGATATCTATCACGCAACGCATTTGTTGTAAAGTCCGGTGTTTAGTAAGGTCAGCACTGAATGTGAGGTAGAATAGGTCTGTTAATTATGTAATATTTTTTCTTTTTTATTTTATTATTGATTTCTTCTTATCTGCAATTGTGTTTGCTGTATCCAGAGGATATTTCTTTTGATCTTACTTGTAACGTTTGCTGAATTTTGTAAAGGAAAAAGTAAAGTGTTCTTGAACTGATCTGCTGAGTATGACTGTATCTGGTTGTATACACAAGATGTATGATATGGTTATGGTTGGGGGGAGGGGGTTATTAAGCCAATGTGGTTTGCTCCCCCTTCTCAAAAATGTTCGGTGCTCTTGGGCATTTCACTGTGCTGCCTGGGGGGCGGGGGGGTGTCAAGGTCCCCACCAAAACTTAGACCAAACCTACGCCCTTGACTCAAGCACAAAACTGACCTAACTAACAAGACATGAGGGGAACTTAAATAGTGGCTGATCAGACCACTGCTGACACACAAGGGGTAATTTAAACATACAAAAACTTAAATACAATACCAAATCTTTAAATTAAACAAACATTAGACTGAAACTACCAAATAGAAAAAGCATTAAATAAATGGTCAAATTATATTAAAGAAAACCAAATTTCCCCATTCCCTGGCAAACAAATGGAACGGCCCGCTGAGGAGGTTTGCCAGCCATATAAGGACGTCAATTAGCTGGAGCTTTTCTGTGACCCTCCAGGAGCAGCTCCAAAGGAAACTGGGAACTCAAAACAAATAAATTAATTTGTTGCTTTCAACAAAAATATAAAGAACTGACAAATAAGGTTAACTAAATGTGTGCACTCCAAACAGTTAACCAAAAAAGTCAGACTAATGAAAATAATTAACAAAAATCTAAACTATTCACTAATTAATGTCTAAATTAATGTAAAGGATAAAACAAACAAAATGATTACCATTCAGATCTGTGTGACAGTAGGGTCAGCTGTCACAATCAGTTATTTGCACTGTTTTTAAGTCAGCGGCTCCATAAGGCCCCGCAGGCCTTCATGGGCCCCATAAGTGCTAATATTTTAACATCTATCAATGTAACATTTGTTTATTGAGATCATCAATACTGCTGAATTTGGTTTAATGGTTTCAGCATACATAAATTACAATATTTTAAATTGTTTAACATTTAAATGTACGATTTAAGGAGATGCAAGTTCAGCATGGCGGGCCACCAGACTTAAAATACACTGGAGGAAACCCTTCAGAAAATTAAGTGCATGAAAGTGAAACATCAAGGATTCAGGTTTACTGAGTACTGTGTGTATAAAAGGATAAATGTCAGCTAAAATTTGTTCATTTAGGTAAGAAATGTTGCACTGAAAGCTGTTCTATAAAGTTTGAAAACAAACACTTGGTTTAATATAAAGCAGAACAAAAGAACAATGACGAGTAACATCATTAACCCTTTTCAAATTGAACCAAATTGAAAAGTAAAGCAAAGTAAAAGTCAAACAAAGTCAGGGTGGGGAAACAAGACAGACTGAAAAGTGGAGCCGGGTGGAGAAGTCCAACTCCGCTCCACCAGACCCGGCTCACCATCAGGAACACGGCACTAATACAGCCAGGAAACACGGGGCCCCGGTGGATCTTAAATAATGTTACTTCCTGGATGCCTTGAAAAATAAAGAGCAATTAATGTAAAGGGACGAAGTGGAGGGGGCGTCACAAGGTGGATACAGTGAGGTGAATGAATGCTGTAAGACTGAGGACAAGTTTCCACATTCATTATGAGAACAAAATTATTTTCTTGTCTGGATTATCAAAAGCAAGCCAGATTTTCAAATGTAATAAAGAAGCAGATTTTATGTTACTTTAATTGTCTACAGTTTAAAATGAACATGAACATAAACAACATTTTGATTGAAAAGGAGCAGAAAAAGAAAAATCTTTTATAATCAATCCTTTAAAAATAATTTGCAAAAATAAGCATCGAGATTACAGATATCTTTTTAAACACAAAACAGGCAATAAAGAAGAGAAGAAATAATCTTCGTGACGTTACAGCACTAATTAATCAATATATTTCCTTTTTTCATTTTTTGACGGCATGTTATATTTAATTTGTTTTATTATGATTAACATTAATATTTTCTGCTTAGTTTCTTCACAGAGAGCATCCCTCAGATTCATTCAGTAAAAGGAAATAAAATATTTCAATGGATTAATTATAACTTTTGTTTTTTATCTTATGCTCTTTGATTATGAATGCAATTTATTTTAATATTTTTGTGAATTTGTTGGTATTTTATTAAATATAACTTGTAAAATATAATAGTCCATCAAGTTGTGAAATTTCAAAAATATGATCTCTGTACCATTTTCTGATAATGATTCTTACGGCTCCTTTTTACAAAATAAGATTTGAATTTATGGATAATTAACAAACATTCCTCCAAACGTCTTCAAAATAAGTAAAGTAAGAAACAATAAGTGAATTAAACATCAACAAAGCTTCATCATTCAAAGCGCCTTTCAGTTTATGTAACAAAATTATCTTTAAATTCTGATGTGTGGTTTCCAGTTTTGGTTTTCATCAAGAGTAAAACCCGGGGATTTAATATTTCTCGTATGTCTAATTATAATACCAGTTATATTTTAGTTATTGTTACGGCTCTGGGCCTTATAAACTGGGTTGCAGGTGTTTGCCTTGTGCTCCTCCCCCCTGGTGGCTGATTTGCTGATTTGCACCGTGGAGTATTTGAAGCAGGCCGTCTCCACTTCCTGGGTCGCCTTCGCCATGTGTGGTGCTCTGCTGCCAGGCTTCAGCTGCTTTTGCACATTTGAGTTTCTTTGTTTTTGCACCTCAACACTTCCACATGCACACATACAAGACATGTTGCATTATGTCATTGACATTGATATTCACAATCCATTGTAGTTTTGTTAATAAGTATTTCCTTTTCTGCACCGTAACCATTGCTTGTTCTCCCGTTTTTGTTATGACCTTGAGCCAGTCGTAACAAATTGGGGGCTCGTCCGGGGGCCAGTTGTAACAGACATTCATTGATAATTGATCTACATTGTCATGTTTTTATCCTTTTTAACTACAACCAAAACATGTCAAATCTAATCCTGAAATTTTAAATCATAAAGTTTATACCAGTAGCGTTTTAAATTCCAAAACAAATAAAAACAGGGAAAATTTCTAAAAAGCAATATTTCTACAAAATCATTTCATCCACCCATTTTCTTAGACCCCCATCCCATTTGGGCGGAGATGGGAGCTGGTGCCCCTCTAACGGCCGAGAGGCGCGGTCACCCTGGGGATATCCTGTTAGTTATTAAACCCCTCAGTCCTCTGTGAGTTTACCTGCGAACATCAGGGCCAGACAAACCAAACCACATGAACCGGCAACCAAAATAGAGTCAAACATCCGCAGAACTAAACAATAAATAGACAATGGAGCAATAAAAATGGAAAGAAGAAATATGGTGGTTCTGTCCATATTTGCACAGCAGAATGAGTAGAAGGAAGAGACGATCAAACATAAAATATAAAAAAATGTCAACAAAAACGCTGCCAGGAATCCATAGAACTAAAAACAACAGGGGAAAGAGAAACAGATAAAATTAGATCTCATTTTCAGTAAAAACTACTTATCATCTAAACAGATTGTGCAAATCTCAGGAAATCATAGTTATTTCTTACCTGCGATTCAGAATACAGGAACTGGGTTTTGGCCAGTAGCTCCTGAGATGAGTTGGGGTTTGATGGTTGACACCATTTCTGAGGTTCAGCGTTCTGAATCGTTTCATACTTTCCTGACCAATCGGTCATTAAGCAGGCGTAATAACGACCGTCTAATAACACAATTACCAGCCATATTCCAGCTGGAATGATGCCGAATCTCAAGGCGGCATAGAGTTTACAGTCACATGCGGTGACATAAATTAGTGAAAGGACTATAAATGGTGGAACAAAGAAACATACTGAAGTATGTAAACTGTTGTATCCGGAGTCACAGGGACATGAAAACTCAGTTTCCACCAGTTTCTCCAACACCATCTGGATCAATGCAATCCCTAAAGTAGATGCCACTGGGCTCCTGGAAAACTCCTCTTTCAGTTTAGACATCCAGTTTTTCTTTAAATCCATAGTTGGGTCCATATTCTGTAACAGGGAAAACACAGAATAATAACTGGGTCTGTCATGATAACAAATTGTGCTGGACGATAATTTGTCCCAGACGTTATTGCGATAAATGATAAAATGTTGAGATAATTTTCAATCAGTATAATAGTAGTAGCATAATAATAAACTTTCAATTCCAATGAACATTTAACACTGGAACTGGAAGACATTTTAAATGTACAAAATAAATAAATGTAAACAACAAATAAAATGAATTATGAAGTCTGTTTAAACAAAATTGTTCTTCCATAAAAAACGGTCTAGTTGAGACCAAAACACCAGACTGAAGACTTTTGTCATCCAGTCTTTGGTAGAAAGAGAAAAAGAAACAAATTGTAAATCATGCAAGTGGAATCTGAGTTTGTTTTAATTTCATGCAATTAATTGATTTATTGTTTATTGTGACAGGCAAAAGCAATACTGGAAACTGGAATTTAAAATGTTTTACACCTGCTGTGGATGATTAACTTTCTTTTCATTGATGTGCTAAAACAACCTCAGTTTTATAAAAAAGAAAAGAACATTTACTGCAGTTGAGAAAATAAATACACGGTTAGCATGAAGAGTCTGACTCTGGGTTATGGAGGCCGCAGTAACACAGAAAGTCCATTTCTGAGAAAATGTCCTGAAAACAGACTTTACACTGAGCTCCACAGCTTCTCCAGATGTTGATTACAGTCCATCTGGTAGAGAAGATAATTTCAGGTTTAGTGTAAAGAGGAACAATGGAAACTTTGTTTGGTAAACTACTGAAACCCTTCATGGAAGTATTTCCCTCTGAATAATTTGTACAGGAAAAATTTTCCATTGTAAACAAGGAACTGGTTCATGCAAATAATCTCTGTTAGTTCCTGGTCTTATGGTCACCTGCACCGTTTTTATGTTTCTCTTAATCACAAAGCAAAAATAAAAAATAAAATAAAATTAACTCCATCCAGACGATCTGAATACATAATCAGAAACGTTTCTCCATAACAGAAACATAGAGAGGCAAAGTTTTCAAGCCTGCTGATCATAAAAAGAACATTTTAGAAATTAAAAACCTTCAGAGTTAATATGACTGAATATAGTTATTGTAAGTATATATTCTGTTTCTTAAAGCATTTTTGATCTTCATTAAATTTTATATGCTAATTCGCTCTGGTGGTTTTTCAAGTAAAATCCCAATAAAACAAAACATGTTTTTTATGCATGTAAATCATGCAAAATATCTTTCAAGTCGACCTTTTGATATGAATTTAACCGTCCTAGACTGATTCCCTTTTGTCACTTCTATGCCGTTTTCCCAAACGTCACTCAGGAATCCAAAGATTGACCGATTTAAATCAAATATATTTACCTGATGATGTGACTCAAGATAAAGATCAAGAACAGAAACAAAATACAAGAGGATAAAATGTTTCAGTGTCTTCAGCTGAACAAATGAAACCAGTTTGAAGTTGATCCAGTAAGTAAAAAATTACAACTGAAGTTCAGAACAAATACAGTCAAATGTGGAAGCAAAAGCAGAAAAAGATTCATTTGATTTCTCCTGAAAGTAGGCGAACCTGTCCTTCTATACGTAGGTCAACGAAGGAGGAGTTACATCACTAACCAATCCACGACTTAAACAAGGTAGAAAAAGTGTTTAAATGCAACTTATTCTATATGTCAGCCCAGCATCATCTATGAAATTAGACCCAAAACACAAATGATCATTTTGGAAAGCGTTGTGGATCCCAAAGAGTTTTAGCGAAAAATAAAAATAAAAATAAATGTGAAACAGGATGAACCAGAGGGCGCTATCGTCATGGTCTGACTGCATGAAATGGTAAAAACAGTTTTTCTTCTGATGGAGGAACTTCTCAAACTTTTGCAAAATCAGACCAATACTATGGCTCTCCTTACAATAAAACTTTGGTCAGAGATTTTAAATTGAGTTGGATCCATTCAGAGCTGGTGCATCTCCAATGGGAAAAATGTCCTAAATCACCCTGAGCAACTGAAACAAATAAAAATATAAATACTACAGCATGGTCAAATGTTTCAGTGAGAGCACTCTTAAAACATCTAAAGATGCAAAAGTTGGACCAACTCCATATTAACGTCCTCAGAATGTAAGAGTTTTGTAAACTGTATAACATATATAGAGTTTACATATTTCTATAGAAATGTGTGAAATTTAATTTCTCCATTTACTTTAGAGAAACAGAGTTAGAAGATGTTTCAAAGCCTGGGATATTGAATATTTCCTGTGCTTCCTGGTTATCAAAGTAACAAAAAAAGTTTGATAAAATCAAGTTTGCATTGTAAAATTAATTACAGAAAATAAACCAGTACCAAAATCTGAAGTGGTTGAAAATCTCCTTTTTGGTGGCTTGACAGTTTTCTGAAATAATTGTGCCTTTATTTCCATTTCGTTTCATTTTTTAGCAACAGAACATATTTGCATTCTAGATTAGTTTTAAGGAAATATTCATGTTTGTAAAGGAAAACATGCAAAGAGCTTTGAAAGGAACTGAAAACCAAACATGAGGCTGAACAAAATCTGAGGGGAGATTAGAAAACATGACTGATTAAAATGAAGAAGAGACTGATTACATGTAACAATGAACACTTAATTTTTTTTTAACGACACAAAACTTTTTCTCCTACTGGGAATTTGGGTCGAGACTCTGGTTGTGAAAATTCATCCAATCGCTGAAGATTTCCCTCATTTTTCCTGTATTTTACTTTGTATTTACTTTAAATATTTACCTTATTTAAATTAATGGTGGATCTGATCTCTGCAAATGATCCCCCTGATTAAACCAGTATAAGACACATTAACACCCATCATCCAGATGTGGAGCATTTTAAACATCTGCAGTCACTAAAAGTTTCTGCGATGAGATTAAACTCAAACCCTTTGACGTTTCAGCCTCCCGTGTTTGGAGGAAGAAGGAAACGGTCCATATTTTTGGGCCTCGTTTTGCATGAATAATTACATCATGAAGCTGATCAGCCTGCGGTTCTGCTGAGTCCAGGTTGCTCTCATAGCTTCATCTGTAATGTTGGGTGTTTTGCAGTGTTATAATAATGTTGGATTTTTCAGTATAGTTTCATTTTATTTTGTCACTTTTTTTGTCTAATTCAGTTAATTTTAATAAGGTTTTAGATTGTTTGCTAGTTTTTATTAATTATTTAAATATTTTTCTAGTTTAGTTTTTATTAGTTGTAGTTTTAGTTTTTTCATATGGTTAATTTTTAGGTGCAGATTTCAAAAATCTATTGTATTGTGATGACGTAAACATTGGCTGGGTAATAAATACTCAACAGAAGATACTAAAAAAACGTGTTAAATTATTTTTGAACAACCAACCGACTGGCGTTTTCTCCCAACTTTTGCTATTAAAGCAGCTTTTGGTTCTGCTGGAAAATGAAGTTAAGATCTTCATGAAGCTTGTCAGGGGAGAGGAACGTGAAATGCTTGGAAATTTCCTGGTAACTGAAACTTTTTCACTATTTGTATGGAGATTTTAATTGTTGCATTAATAATAATGTAACGCCTGGGTCTGTAGCTCCACCTGCTGGTCAAAATGAAAATCGCTGCATTTGGTCGTTATTTTTATTTTTTATCTGCGCAGCAGAACTTGTCTCTATTTTTCACTCATTTATGGAGTTGTTGCATATTTTCTGCAATGGAAAAAATAAGTGCATTAAAAATTAAACCCCAAAGATGCCGTTTTACTGAGTGCCTTGTAAAAATGACAAATAAACTACTGGCTATGTGTTATTTAAGTAAGAAATGTTGCTATTTGTCGAGAAAAGTCGAGCTCAGCCCACTTCCCCATGCTGGAGATTTTAGTTTAA